GCAAGCAACTAGGGGGCTCAAACTCATGTCACTTTATCCCCAGCACAAGAGCTATCTACCATCTAAATTTCGTCACCCTAGCATGTCTGGATCATGAGATATCAAAACCGGAAGTTCTGCTGCAGTACCATGACAAGCCGCCAGGTGGCCCAAAATCTAATCATTTTGAGGTCTCATCAAGACCTACCCACCTACCAAGTATCAAGACAATCCATCAAGACCTTCTCAAGTTATCGTGTTGACAGACACACACACACACACATACACGAACGCCCCTGAAAACATAACCTTCTTGGCGAAGGTAATGAGCTTACTCATTGACATTTCGTATGTCAAACTCGACAACGATTTTACTGCAACTATCAAATATCATTTTCTGATTATTTACTAAAATTGTTTGATAACAGGTTATAGAAAATTACAAATTCTTTTCACCAGACAGAAACAAAGTTTAAGTCTTGTCCGTAGGAAGACGGCTGATTGTTGCAGAATACATGCACAGCTATCCCAAGAATGCTCTAATTATGGAATTGTGCGGCACATGTTTGTGACCTGGCCCTTCTAAAACTGTTGAGCAATGGAGTTACATTTATCGGCAATGTACAACATAGAAAAGTAAATGAAACATGAAACAAATTTACCTACCCGATGAACCAACTGAAGAAAGCAACGACTATAGAGAATTCAATGTCTCTTGTCTGTACCCCGTGACGGAAAACTTATACATTCCGTGTTATACTGGGAACTACTTCCAAATTCCCATCTATAATACATTTTGCACAATTTGTCCACCAATATTTTGTTGGGTTTTATCGTGTTCGAATAACTTGCCAATTACTTACTACTTTGCATAGTGTACTAGTGTGTGCGTGGTACAATAAACTGTACATGTAGCGTGTGCTGTAAATAATTTATAATGAAAACAGACGGATAAACTACAGGAATCTTCGGTGTACGTGTCAGTTCGTTAGCCTGACTGCCATGGCGCCAGTCATGCTCTCTCGGTCATTATAACTTTATTCTATTCGACACAACAAAAGTACACCGGCTTTCGTCAGATATTTAACTACATGTCGACAGACAGACAGATACGTGGATGTAATAAAATTGACCTACGTACAATACAATACAATACAATACAATACAATATATGAATCAACTTATACTACTTGTTCTAAGGTCTAAACATTTTTGATAGATTTATAACTTATTATTATTCGACATACCAAAAATCATGACGGTTTTTAAGTTATCCTCTCTTGAAGATTTTTTAACAAACCGTCCTGCAGTTCCAGAACTGAGGGCTTAAACTCACGTGACTTCTTTCCGATCACAAGAGCTACCTACCATCCAAAATTCATCACCCTAGCATGTACAGATGGCGAGATGTCAAAACCGGAAGTTACGATGCAGTACCAAGGGAAGCCGCTAGGGGGCCCAAAATCTAATCATTTTGAAGTCTCATCAAGACCTACCCATCTACCACATACACACACACGCACGCACGTACGCACGCACACACACACACGCACGCACGCACGCACGCACGCACGCACACACACACACACACACACAGACACACACACACACAGACACACACACACACACACGAACGCCTACGAAAACATAACATTCATGGCGAAGGTAATGAATAATAACCTCAATGACATGTCATGGAGGTTATTACGATCGTGATCGAAGCTAGGGTGATAATTATAAAGTTGAAGGCCAGGCTTGGCAAGAAGTTGCGCGTTTGTTCGTCAGGGGTAGAACAGGTGACTGTGTACATGTATGCACGGATGCGGAATGTTGACTCTTACAATCTATCGCACAAACACAGATGAGCAAATTCTCACGGAAAGATCTATCGGTGTGCCGCGCACGTAGTTCACATCGTCACGTCCTACGAAAGTAAGACAGATCACTACTTATTTCTCTGGCGAGGTCCGCGAGCAAGCCACATTTTCACCATGCTGACCGTTCTGGTTGCTGTAGCACTTTGTGGAATGGTGAGTGAGAAATTTGAGAGTTTAACGCAGAAAATCCCAAGCAGATGTCGTATGATACCATAATACCGAAAGCACTAAATGGCAGTGATGACGTTGTTGTAGTGGTAGTGGTGTGCCATACGGTACGAGAGCTAAATTCTTTCAATGAATTGCTTACTCAGAATGTGGGTATAAACTGTTTAAATTAACTAGTAAATTATGGGCAATCAAATGACAAAGTTGGCCAACATTGAACTATAAAAACCACTACAGGAATCTATAAACTGTTTAAATTTTAAAACTAGTAAATTAGGGGTAATCAAATGACAAAATTGGCCAACTTTGAACATTGAACTATAAAAACCACTGTTTGGACATCGTACATCAGACAAGATGGCGCACTGATATGTAGTGTTTTGAGCAAAGAAGTTTGACATGTTGACAATGGACCCTATCGGACGCTTCGTCGGATACAATGGGGAGAAAGAGTACGGCGCTAGCGCTGTTACAACAAAATGAGCTCGAGGGCTAGAGGTGAGCCGGTAACGTCCAGGACACCATTAAAGTGCACACAGTGATCTAGCATCTCACTAGTCAAGTTTCGACTCAGCACAGCTAGCATGGTGTAGAATGGTATTTTTTCCCCAGGTCATTATATTAATAATATTAATATTAATGTGAAAGTTGATTTGTGTTTCAGGCGTCAGCCACACCACAAACAAAGTTCGCAATTAACTACCCAGGTAAGTTAAAATCAGCAGTAGCCACTTTTGTGTTGCCAAAATGATTAACGTGTTGCTACAGTACAGTTGGCAATTTCCCGCTACATATTTGCATTGCCTTGCAGAATTTCATTTTAAAACGCAGAGATCTCTTCATATTCTATGCACACCAGAGCTGAGTTGTACGTAATTTGCAGGTACTCTGTGGTGCGGTACCGGCACCCCTAACGCGGACCCGTACGAGCCTCAACTCGGGAACCCTCCTAGCGTGGACCGCTGCTGTCTCGGACACTACCTCTGCCCCGACTACATCCCAGGTAAGTACACGCTCCTGAAAGACACCACACATCCCTGTAGACTGTTCCTGCCCCCAGTGGTTCAGACACCCTACAACCTACGCCGCCGTACTCGACTGAAACCACCACTCAGCAGATCAAATAGACACAAAAACTCTTTCATACCCAGAACTCTTTCGTCAATGTAAAGCCCGCGAAATCTTTGTGCTTGTGTTGTATATTTAATGTTGAGAGATTTTAACAATATCGGAAATTCGCTGTCTTTTTCAACTAATGGTATTTCAAATGTAATGTTTTTTATGAATGAAATGTAAAATCAACCCAATTTAGTCTTGTCAAAGACTACAAAGTTGATTGCTTAATAAAGTTTACAAGTTTACAAGTTACGCTCAGTACCTATCTGTATCTGTATCTGTATAGCCGGTATAACCGCGCGTACGTACGGCTTAACACATCAGCCTCGTAGCTAGATAAGCTGAAATGCATTCCAATGCATTTGTTGACTAATACTTTAACATTAGTACACATGTATTATGTTAAGAAATGCAGGAAAAACGCAGATATCTCAGATTAGTACTTCCTAATCAAAGAAAAAGTTATCATGAACGTAATTTACTAATATTAGTAGTATAGATCAAAAGCGACTTCTAGCAGCCGTTAAAATTATTGCAGCAATTTTTGCCGTGCATGTAAATCTTGCTCTATACTTAGTATACTACTATAACGTTATATGATGAAATATTCATACAATAGATGGAATATTCTGAGCGTTTGTGAAGATTCCACATTTGACGCATCCAAGTAATAAGCAATTTCAAGTTCTAACGTGTGGAACTTAAAAGTTATACATACGTTAAAGTTTGTTTATTATGAAAATTAGACACCAACAGTTACTAATAATATTGCTTGGCAGAGGCATGGGGTCATCGAACTCATGGGTGATCTTTTTTCCTCTTCACACACTACTTCCCTCTGTCATTGACAATCTTTTTCTCCTGCAGCTTGGGCTGAAAAGTACGGCATGACGAACATGCGTCCCCACACCATCACCAGCTGTGACTGTGGCCGGACCCTGTACGCCTGTCTGCAGGACGAGTACTATGATAACCCGGCCGTGCAGACGGAAGCTGAGGCGGTAAGCTGGTACCATCTTCAAAGGACCATGCCAGTAGCCAGGATTTTGAATGGGGGGGGGGGGTTCTTCCCACTGCTTGGGGGACCTCGAGCGCCGAAGGCGCGAGGTTCCTAGGGGGGTCTGGGGGCATGCTCCCCCGAAAAATTTTGAAAAATGAACCTTCTAAAATGGCAATTCGTGCATTTTTGAGAGGATTTCCAAGAAAATCAGAGATAAATTTTTATTCAATGACAAAAGGAGCAGTTTTTCTACGATTCCAGTCCATCTTTTAAAGAAAAATCTTGGACCTTTACATAAAATGTGGACCTTTACATAAAATGTGGACCAAAAAGTGGACCTCTGAGCCTTG